CTAATAGTGATCATGCTTTAGATGATAATCATGATGATAATGATCAAACAAGAAGAACATTAAATTCGAGTAGTACACTAAGTCATGTTACAGTAAATGATGATTATCGTAGAACAACAAATAATGAACGTCAATGTTCATTGACACAAATGTTGCTTGCATATGTACAGCAAGATATAGAAATATTGACAAGTCTTACACCAACACGCTCAGATAGGAATCTTAATAATATATTAAATGTACTTGAACTTCATTTTAATACGTATGCTGATGATAAACGACAAATATATTTTGAAGGTATCTTTCAAATTCTACATGATTTTAAAGAACCAATAACTGAATTAACATTAATTGAAACGATGCAATTATTACAGGTGTAAACATAAAAGACTGTCATATTGAATAGAATTGATTACAGTTGATAGTTTTTCTTTGTTCTAGATTGATCCTCTTGCTTCATGTAATTTTGAAAGTTTTATTCTTATTTTATGTCATTTACCTCCTATTAAACAAGATCCTAATAATTTTTTCATTACATTTAATGAACTTGACTATAATAAAGATTTCTATATAACTTTTGAAGACATTCAATATGTATTACCATATCTAACATCTCGTTTTGATCCAGAAATTATTCGTGCAGCAATTCATACCATAGATATTGATCATGATAATGATCGTTTATCATACTTTGATTTTGTCACGAGTCTTCTATTATTACAAGAGTGCGAATTAAGTATGAAAACAAAAACAAACACAACAACAACTAATGGAAATTTCCGTTTCACTATTGAACAGAAAAAAGAATTAAAAAACAGTTTAGTTAATGTGAAAAGAACAGAATCGAATCATGAATAAATAAAATATTCAGGTCGACTGTACCGATTAAGTGTTTTTTTATGTTTGTCACTGTTTTAAAAAAACAAATGCTTTATTAACAATAAAAATATTTCGAACTCAATAATGCAAGAAGTAATCAAAAGAAATATGTCTCAACTACATATTTTACTAGTACTATTGTTTCAAGCACAAAACTGCTGGATGCAAATAGTATCAAGTAAAAATGATTTATATAAATCGAAAATTGCATTATTAAAAATGATCTCATTTTTTTCCAATTTAGATGCAACAGTACCTTGTTCTATTCCATCTTTTTATTCATCAGCAATTACTGTTGCGGGTGGAAGTAGTTCCGGTTCTCAACCTCAACAATTAAGTTTACCATATGGATTATATGTTGGTTTGAATGATTCAGTCTATGTTGCTGATGTTGGAAATGATCGAATTCAATTGTGGTTATCAAGTGCTGTTCAAGGTATTACTGTAGCTGGTGGACAAGGTTATGGTTCAAATGCTACACAATTAGATGGTGCTCGAGAAGTCTATGTAGATTCAGCTAACAATTTAATCGTCTTAGATACCGGAAATCGACGTATACAACAATATAATCTATTGTCTGGTTCAACAATTAGTACAACTATTATGTCAAATTTACCATTGAGTTGTCGAAATATGTTTGTTGAACCGACAACAGGTACAATTTATTTATCAGATATGTACAATCATAATGTTCTTCGTATGCCAAATGGAACAATCCTAGCTGGAGGCAATGGATTTGGGTCACAACCAAATCAATTATATTATCCAGCAGGTCTCTTTGTGACGCCGATAGAAACAATCTATGTTGCTGATTCATTCAACGATCGAGTACAAATGTCTAGGACAATAAATAATTTACATACAATATTTAATTTTATGTGTTTTTTAGGTGGATATCTGGTGCAAGTGTTGGTATTACTGTTGCTGGTGGAAATGGTCGTGGTTCTGCAGCTAATCAGTTAAATTCACCTATGCATGTCATTTACATGGCATCAACTGGTAATTTAATTGTAACTGATAGTGGAAATGGACGTATTCAAATTTGGGCACCCAATGCTACATGTGGTATTACAGTTGTTAGTAATCAATTTATGTATCCAATGTCTAGTGCATTGGATTTAATGGGACAAAACTTATACGTACTTGATCAAGTACGTGGCCAAGTCAAACGATTTAATCTTCTTTCAAGCAATAACTTATGTAGTAAGTATTTTATGAGAAATAGTTATTTTTTTTATGGATTTCGACTATTATTAGTTCCTGCTAATTGCTCTATCATTGCACCATCAATAACAACAACAGCCACTGCACCTACTACGGTAGTGTCTAGCACATCTTCTCCAGTATCAGGAAATAAGACCTTAACAACGGAACAAGTAAGATTAAGAAAAATTAATGAGTTATTGTAATTGTAAATGTTATCACTCATTTTCAGGTGGATGAAATAATTCCATGGTGGGGTATTGTAGTACTTACTGTTGGTACTGTAGCATTAGTTGTCATTGTATCATTCATATATGTTCTTAAGACAATGATCACACCGCAGTAAGATGATCAATTATTAACATATTTTTTGTTTCTTATTTCTTTATAGAACGAAAGTCGAACCATTTGTTTAACCCAAGTGTCTCTCTTTCTATCCAATAATATTCTAACTTCATGTCTTCTAAGAAATCAATATTAATTTCTAAAATTAAAAAGATGAATGTTTACATAGTTATGTGATCGTATTTTGAATAAAAATGAATGCATCAATTCATTGTAGAATTTATATTTAAATGAACTCTTGATATAAAACTCATAATAGAACGGAAAATAAGACTACATTTTCTCGTTTTCAAAAAAGAATTCATATAAAAAAAAAAGGGTGATGATCAAATACATCGTACAAGAAAAATATAAATCCATAAGCGATTCTTATTTTTTAAACTTATTTTTTTCGGCGTAGATAAGTTATAATCACGTATCTTAGTTATTCACGCATACGAAATACTACGATTAATATACTATTTCAGTGGAGAATCTGTATGTTAGACTCATAAGGAGTAGATTATCAAGTTTGTCAATATTATGTCAATAATGAATAGCATATGGAACAAAGAACGCTATGTGATATCTATCTTGTGTTTGAATTGAGACTCATTTATTAAAAACTCAGATATCAAACTATCATTTGTCTTATGATAATAGTAAATGAATCAATATTATGCAAAGAATTCTAAAACACTAATCCTATATTATTATATAAAGTAATAGGGAACCTAACATAGTTTATTGAAAGAACATTTTCATTATTAATATAGATGACATGAAAGATTTCGTCATGAAAAAATTATGAAGCAAAACTATTACGTTTAATTGTTGAATGACATATTATTGATGAAATTTCAATCCGCTGCACTTCAAAACAATGTAACACAATGAATACTTTGAGTTGTTTTGCTTGTATCTAGCATTTTGATGTTTTTAGTGTTTATCCATAAAAACGACAATGATCTAATTTCTTGGCTTTTTATGACAATATTGTTGGGAAATTGAGGTGAAATTTCATGATATATTGACGCATCAGAATAATCAATAACTAGTTAGAATTGATGATGGCAATTTAATCTTGTCTATTAGGAATCAAAAACAACGATCTGAAAGAAAAATTTTGTTTTTTTTTTTAAAATAACGACTAATTGATAAAGTTTACATGCTTTTCCTTTTACCTTCTTGTTGTTCGAGTACTACAATATGTTTATTGATAAGATTAGCCTCTCTATCTTTTTTCGAAATGGGGAACATGTTTAGTTATTCGCTTCATATAATCCAAAACAATAAGTTTTGTTTATGTATTGACAAATTATAGATTCCAACCCTTTAAATTCTGTGATGTCTGAATCAAATTCAACGTTGAACTCTAAATGTTTCAATTGCTTGTACTATTGGAAATTAGTCATTCTTTTCTTTGCAAATTTTAAAGATATTTCATTGAAAACCACTTTTTTTTTAATGAAAAGTTGAAACAATTTCTTATGCAACAAAATAAATATCTTTTATTGAACTGTAAGTGACGCTTTCAGATTGTGAATCACCTTGATTTACTAACTCATATGGCAAAATCAGTAATTCATGCTTACAATTTGCTTTATGAGCAGCAGAAGAAGTACAAAAATCACAAGTGTGAGAGTGATAATCGAATACCTTACATGGATAACTTGACCATCAAAACGAGAAATAACAACCGAAGGGTATTCGGACAATTTGTCGTATAGCATATAAGTCTTAAAGTATCTTAAAGAAGCATTGAGTCTGGGTGGAAGTGGATGTGTTAGTGAGGTTATGGGTGAGAGTACACAAAAGATCCTCATTCACACCGACACTTACATATTGTAGCCGAATTGTCTGATCATTCATTCGAAACTTCGAAATGACGTGATATTTTCGCGATTTCATAATATTTATTTTCGATAAAAGTGATGATACAAAATTAGTAAACGAATCAGACATCACTTGTTCATATAATATTTTTAGTGTATTATCTCGATCATTGTGAGTCTTACAAATACTTTTATTGTTAAAATTAGTGCCGTTGAGAAATCGAAAGATAAATCAAAGTTAAGATGAACAGTGTTGAAATATTATAGCGATGACAAGCCAGCAGAAAACCAAAATTAATGTCAAGTACATTTCTATTGTTCTCGCCTGCAATTCTACTATGTCTAATCCTCAATGAGATCTGTTATTGATCTTCGATCGTGTTTCAAAGTAAACTCAGTTATATTATTTTCTCTTGAAATTTTATAGAAGTTGTAAACAAGAATAAGAAAAACCTAAACTTCTTTTTGTTTTCTTTCGAGTACAAATAAATTAAAACAAATGTTTTCAGTTGCACATTGAGTAATGTAAACAAATATATTTTTGATGCATTGAGAGAAAACAATTATAAGCTTTTAAAAAGCATTGACAATTATTATAATCCAAAATTTCATCATAAGATTTATTATATGTTTGATCAAAACAACAAAAAATATAAGCTGATAAATAAAATAAAGAAATGAAATGAAAATATGATCTATATACACACAATATGAATATAAATTTTGTTTGTACTGTAAGAAACGACTATAGTAAAGATTTCATTCTTCTGTTTTTTTATCTTCTATATTTTTATTCTCATTTTCTGTTTTATATTCTTCTTCATGATCTTTTTTTTCAGGTGCATCTTCTTGCTTTGGCCATTTCCCATCAACGAGTGGCTGTATTGGATGTTGTGCTTCATCTAATTGAATATCTTTCATAACTTCAGTTGCTGTAAGATTAGAATCAGCTTCTTCTTCTATTTCTCGACCAAGTTCACCTAATAATTCTTCAAGATCATCAGTTGAAGATCCAATCCATACCATTTCGCAACCAGGAACATCAAGCATTGCTGGTTCAGCTAAGAAATTTATCATAGAAAATATAATGTGAAAAATTATTTTGAATATTTACCTGGTAACCATTGATATGAACCAAATTTTTTTTGAATTTCTTCTGAATATTCAGCTTTTTGAGAATGACTAAGACCAGCAGCAGGTGGACTTCTCTTTTTAGGATTTTTAACAGCAACAGAAAAAGAAGCTTCTTTTGTAATATTAAATACACTTTGAACAGCACCAATATCTGATGGTGATTCAAGTACATAACCAATAACTGTACGACGTTGATCATGTTTAGCCATAACATATTTACCTTTACCAGCAATACGATCAGCTTTAATTGTACGTGTGCCAACTGTCGCTGTTTCATAAGTTTGAACTTCAAGTTTTTCTTCAAGTTTTTCTATATCATTATCAGCTTTTTCAACAAAAGCCCAATAACGTTCTTTTCCAATAGTTGGTAATTTCTTCTTTCCAATTTTAATTAAACGTATTTTAGATGATGAATCTTTTAGATTTGTTTCATCTTCTTCTGGTATTAATAAAACATGAAATAATTGAACATCATCAAAAGATAAGGCTTCATCGACATTCAATTTTGGTTTGTCTATTTAATAAATTTTCGTTTGAAAACAAAATCTTTTTTATTTATAGTACTGATCAAAAATATGAGACTAATGTATTTTTAATCTCTTCTTTGGATGATACTAAACATTGAACTCTAATTCAGCTAGTGGTTTAATAAACCTTAAATGGAAGTTTCCAGGTCCCAAGAGACTGTGTGATAATTAGTTTCTATGAGTACCATCTTGAAGATCATAAAATCCTGAACGAAATGATGGGCTGCAACGTTTCCTATGACTTTCTCTTAGAAATCTATAAGCATCACGAAAAAAAAACAAGCGAAATTTTTCATGGCATTTTTAAAGATTACATTCTTTTGTTTTCTTATGATGTCTATAGTTTTTTCAGTGAATGTTATATGAAATGTGGTCACCATTCATTTTATTTAGGATTTTGCTTCGTTTAAGATGAGACTCTTGAAAACGAATTTTCCCACAATCTTCATGTTTGATTTTTGTGAGAAACCTTCTCATAATCTATGTATCAAATTTCTGTATAGAATACATTTCACACAAAACTTCAGTGGCTATTCAAATTACTATTTGTATTTTAGGCAAATACTTGGTATTGTAGAAAAAAAAATTAAAAAAAACTATATTGGTCTTATATTTTTGACCAGTATCGTATATTAAAGAAGAAGACTTACACATAAATACAATATCTCCTTTTTCAAGAAATTCATCATCATTTTTTATTTCATGATGATTATTTGTTAGTTCTTTTTGTTTTGTATCAAGATTTTCTTCTAATGTTTTATCAGTTTTGGCTTCTTTAATGGATTCAAAATCTTCGACTGAAATATCAAATCATAATAAAAAAAAAAAATTAATTATTAATATATTTACCTGAATGCTGTCGTTTAATACCACCACGCATACTACTTATTTGTTCATTATCCGATGACATGGTATTAATGAAAAAAAGAAAAATACAAAGTCAATATGATATTTTGAGATACTTGATTTGAGAACAAGGGCAATGTTTAATAATTGTTAATAACGATTTATGCTTTTTTCAGGTCTTTAAGTACGTTTTTCCTTATTTCTATTTTCGACCGCCAGGAATATTTGAATAGCTCTGTATCTTTTAAATTGAGCAATAATATTTAAAGATTTACTGAATACATCTTATTAAAAAAAAAGAAAAAGAAAAAAATTTTCTTTGTACAAAATATAGGCTTTTGCGGATGTTGTTTTGTCTACAGATGTCAGATAAAGAACAAAAATCATTGGACTTTGTAACTATTCAATGGGAAATTTTTGGCACATGATAGTTGAGTTTTTCAAGAAGAAAAAAAAGTAAAGGAAAATGTTTCCTAAAAAACCACCAACAGATATAAATAAAAATGACTTTTTACATAATTTGGATGAAGCTCGTGAAGCACGACGTCGTGAAAAACAGATGCAACAAGCTGCTATTATCATTCAAAAAACAGTGCGAGGTTATCTGATTAGAAAAAAATATCGAGATTATCGGAAGTAATTATTTTATTTAGATTTTTCTCTTATTTTCTCTTTAAATTAAGAAATGAACTTAAACAAATATTTCTTGGTTTTACTGACCCAAATCCACAAAAATATCCATCTTTGCAACTTGGTAATTGTTTTTTGTTGTTATACATATTTATTTGTATACTCGAAAAAAAAAAAAATTACTTTTTTTTTGATAGCATCAACTATGTTTCCTCACTTACAACATTTTCTTCTCTATTATAATCGAATGAAAGTTAAAAATAATTCAACAGATTTACAACAAGTACTATTAATAGATTATTTTTAATTTATTTATTGTTTCTTTCTTTAGTTATTATTAGGTGTATTGAATTATATTTCAACAAGTCTAATCATAGATGATATTAAAGTATGTATTTATATTGAAATAATTTTTGTATATCTTTTCGTGTTTATTTATTTATTTAGTATAGTCATTTGGCTGCGTTTTTTAATAAAGAAGTTAATGCACAATGGATGAAATTTAATCAAGATTTCATGATAGTAATACTTAAAGTGATTGAAACAACAGAGTTAACAACAAATGATGATATTAAATTAATTATTAGTTCTTTAAATTATCTTTATCTTATAACTGATTGTCAAAGTTGGAAAGCATTACAAAAAAATATGAGTATGTTTAATATAGATTATTGTTAATCTTCTACACATCTACCTTTACTGTCTCGTGAATTACAAAACTATATAATTAATAGAAGTAGAAATTAGTAAAATGTTGAAAGATATTGATTTTGATACAATAACTGGAGAAGAGGATTGCTTGTTTATTGAATACTTAATAATATCTTAAGATGAAAGCGTCCGTTTAAACTAATAATATTGACTACATTCTGCAGATCATGAAGCTTCATGATAGCAGGATTACAAATGAAAATTTTATACTTGAATCATGCACCAACGATTTTGAAATAGACGCCTTCCTTCAATAGAGATGCTCTTGGATCTTCTATTATGTTAGATTTATTTCTATAAGTTTTAATTAAAAGTATTTTTCAGAAAATCAAAATGATTTTAAGGCTTTAGAAAGATATTTTAGGATCTTACAAGTTCAAGAATAATGCTGACCTCAATCTTATATGGTTTCGTAGGTCAAAAACTCAAAAATTATGCATATTTTGATATAAATATACTAATGAAAGTGCTAACATTTTGCGAAATCTATTCATTAAACTACAAGTCATGAGATCCTTAGGAGAGTTCTCTCGGTTTTGCATATGAAGAATATCAATATTTTTAGACGAACTTCTTCTAAAAACAATGCTTGCTCTGAATCGTAGTTATTTGATTCATCTTGGTCAACATAATCTTCTTAAAACTCTTAAAGTAAATTTTTTTTAAAAACTTATAAAATCTATCAAATCAATTTATTATATAAAGATTTCTATGATTCGTTGTATGCATCGACGTCTTGAATCATCGATTATACATAATATAGCTACATTAGCTTTCAAGTAAATATTATTGATTTTCTTTTTTGTTTAACATATTTACATCATGTTTCTCTTATTTTTTTTTAGACTTTTATTAAACAGTGATTTCAATCGTACTCATCTTATTTTGTTTTCTCAAACAATTCTTATCATACCAACTTTTATAACAATGTGTCATGAAAGTTCGCATAAAGTAAAGCAATCAAAAAAAAAAAAAAAAGAAATGAAAGATTTTATTTTTCTATTTCAAGTTGTTTCAAATGATTTGTCAAAAAGATTTATTTAATCATCTTATTTGTATATATAGTATTAAAGAAGCATTTGTTAGTTTAAGTGAAAATATTGATATTATCGAACTTTGTTATATGCTTGGTAAATATATAAGTTGACTTTTTTTTTTTTTTTTCTTTAGAATCATACTTTTTATATATAAATAGGAAATATTGTTGCACTTGCTAGTATTGATCTTAATCAATTAGAAGCAATGAAACAACCATTTATTCATTGTCTTTTTAATATATTAGATGTTTGTCGACAACGACAAACTAGTAATGAACAAAGTGGAAAACAAACAAAAATGACTAGTGTTTGGCATCCAATTATTGGTCATGTTCGAGGAAAAACAAGTGGAATGACTGTGTTAGATTATTTCAATATTTGTTTTCTTTTTCATTTCAAAATATGTTTTTATGTTCATTCCAGATCTAACCAAGAAATTGTTCAACGTGTTATTATTCAATATAAATTTCTTTGGTCGAAATCATTTGTTAATATGTTATTTGAATCAATACCAACAACATCATCAGGAAATCAATCATTGTCAACAGCAAAAAAAGAAACGAGTATGTCGTTTATTTTGACTAACAACGGAAGTTTGCCAACTGATAAATCGCTTGTGAGTTGAGATTATGAGCATTATATAGAACAAAATAAACTATGAATAACCCTAAAAAAAGAGTTCAGACCCTTAACTTATTGCTTCCGATACATTAGACTTTTATAGTAGCTTTTAAATAAATATCGTAGTCTTCCTCAAAAACAATCAGAAAAACTAATTTTTTATGAATGTGTCACATTTTATTGTTGTTCCTCTCTTAAGATACAGCCATGATGAAAGCGTGTCGTTTAAATCGCTAATATATAACAAAGTCAAGTAGCCATGACTGAGTGACTAAGTAGTTCGATGTATATCCACAAGGTATTCTGTGTTCAAACCTTGATATTATCAGCTATGAAATGGTCCTAGGAAAATCCCTAACGGCTGCTTGTGTCGAATCGTTCTTCTGATAACATGCTAACTATATAATGACATGCATTTGTTCTTGTGGTCAGTATGTGATTAGTTAGTATGTATAGGAAATTGAAGCATATGAACTTTGCATCAAGCCGGTTTTCCATCCAAATCTACAGCTAGCCATAGTTTTAGAGAAGATATCGGGTAATTGAATGTGCCGTTAGGCAATGCTCTATAACTCAAGATAGCCGAATGAAAACCTAGTCTTCTTTCCTTTATGTATCAAGTTTCAAGTCGAACTTCAAAAATCAGTCTTTCCGAATATTTCTGAGTGGGACAACGATATTTATTTAAAAGCTATTGTAAATTTTGCAGTATCTACACGGCAATAAACTAAGGACTGAACTCTTTACAGAATATTAGAAAATTCATTTGTATGTACATGATGAAAATAATTACGTTTCAGAAGCGATTCATCTTTTGAGAGATTTCTCTCATAAGATTCTATGTAATTCAATGTATTTTTTTAAAGATATAATTCGAGCTAAATTTGAAAAATTATTTCATTCAAAAACTACAACAGATAAATTAACAACTGATGAATTAACACAATCTATTTGTCGTATAACAACATTTTATCAAAAGTTAATTCAAATATTAACAGAATTAAGACTACAAATTCTTTGTGGTAAAATCTTTTGTTTTTTTTTTATCAATTACTATCTTTTTTCTAATATTTTAAAAATTAAATTTTAGCTCTTTCATTACAAGATAGTTTAATAAGTAGTTTATGGCAATTTTTAAATAATATTGGTTCGACATGTGGTTTAAAAGAATTATTGAAAATTTATGAAACGAACAAAGAAAATTATCATCCAATATTTGATTTACTTCAATTATTTTGTAATCTCTGTTCATATCTTGCTACGTAAGATGTCTATATTCTCAAATCTATTTTTATATTTATTGGAAATTTTTTTTTTGTTTTTTGTTATTTTAATAAAGAGTTTTAGATGAAGAAGAAATGTATAGAGAACAGAAATATTTAACTCTTGATAGTTGGTCTCAATTTTGTTTATTTCTTAATCAATTTGTTTATCGTTTAATACGTATTGAATTTGAACGAACAATAACAACATCACCAAAATTAAAATTAGAAAATAATCAATTATATAAAACACTTCATCAACTTCTTATTTTACTTCATGAACGAAATTCAAGAAAATCATTTACACCTGATTCACATTGGCTTATTCGGTAAATTATAATTTACATAGTCAATTTAAACGACAATTTCTATAGATTGAACTTATCAAAATAAAATCGCTCTTTTGTAGAAAATCAAGTTTAATTAAATTAAAACAGATTTCATTGCTTATTAATCGAATTTATTAAAGATAAATAATGCGTATATAGACTCTACTATGTCAAGTATTTTGGTACGCAAAATAACATGGGTAATGGGAGAAAAAAAATTTCATACTTGATCGATATTACTACCTTGATATAGAAAACCTAACTAACCAATATTTCATTAGACTATTTTTTACATATTCCACCATTTTCACACTTCCAGTGACAAATACAATATTCAGAGATTCATAAAGATCCACAACTTCCGAGATATTTCTATAAATTCTATTATATATTTTGTCATCTAACCAAAGAAATTATGCTATAGGTACATAGCTAGCTGATAGAGAGGACAAATACGATATCTAGGGTGAAACCTGACTCTTTCGACTTATAGCACTCTTTGAATACAGTTAAAATGTATGATATTTTATCAATAGATAAGTCCAATAAATTTGCAAAGAAAAAATCTTGGTAGCTTCTCGAAAAATTCGTCTATTCTTTTCGACATATCCTGTTTTTTTTTAACAAGAAAAATATTCAATTTAATCATATTGTTTACTTCTATATTTGAATAGTGAAGTGAAATCATCATCATCATTTATGGCTGATCTTGAACGTGATGATTCATGTGCTCTATATCTTCTTGAACAAATTCCTCATATTCTTACATTCAAAGATGTACGTATTTTGGAATTTATTCCAACAAAAAAAAAACAGAATCTATCGAAGAACTATTGAAGTAAAGAATATTGAATATTTTCAATTGCTAATATTCTCTGAGATTGTTTGTTTTTGTTATCGAATGAAGTCATATTTATTTTGTCAATATTATTTATATTCTAGCGTGTTAAAATTCTTCAAATGTTTATTGAACATGATAAAGAAAAAGAATGTACTGAAGTCTCACCATTACGACATCATTCAAGAAATTATTATGAAATTCATCGAACGAATCTATTTGGTGTAAGTAACAAAGTCTTCTTCTTCTAAAAATATAATCAACATTATACGAGTTTTATTTTTTAATATTTAAGGATGCCTTTCGAGCATTACAAAATGCATCATCAACAATATGGAAAAATACAATTCGTATAAGTTTTATTAATCAACAAGGTCTTGCTGAAGCTGGGATTGATCAGAATGGAATATTTAAAGAATTTATTCAAGAAGTAACACGACAAGCATTTGATCCAGCATTTAATCTTTTTAAAGTAATTAATTTTAATTGATTTATTTCTAATATTATTTTATTCTTATTTAGGTAACAGAAAATCGAACATTATATCCATCACCAATATCTGATCGAACAGAAAATTATTTATATTTGTTTAATTTTATTGGTAAAATATTAGGAAAAGCTGTTTATGAACAAATTGTTCTGGATATTGAATTAGCACCATTCTTTTTACGTCATTTCATATCTCGAAAAAATCTTAATTATTCATGTTTTGATGATTTAATGTTTCTTGATAGAGATCTTTATAATAACCTTAATTTTATTAAAGTAAATTAAAAGATAAACCAAAAAAAAAAAAAAATTTATATTTCTTTTTCTTTTAAAGCATTATGATGGTGATGTATCATCATTAACTTTAACATATTCGATTGATGAAGATGTACTTGGTGAAATGGTAACATATGATATTATTCCGTGTGGAAGACATATTAATGTAACCAATGATGATAAGTATGTGAAAAGTTGTTTCTTTTTTTGTATTGTCAAACTCACATTCTGTTCTTCGAAAAAAAAAACATAGTGAGTGTCAGTTTAGTTACATTTTCATAGCAACCGAGAACAATAGGCGTCAGACTTAGCAAGACTTAGACTATTCCAGAACATTTGTAAATTCTTTTCAAAATTGGCATAGGCTGGAATACGTTTGTTAATATTCTAAATAGTGCAGTTTTTTTCATTGTTACACCGATAAAAATTTTTAGTCAAGATATCAAGTATGATGGATAATCATACATTGCTTTGCTACAATCACCGTAAGAACAATTTAAGAATCGAGAACTGATCAGGTTATAATTTTGAGAAATAATTAATATTAGCGTTTCTCAGCTTATCGCAATATATAATAGTGTGTTGAAATCTGTGATAGATATAATACTTATGTACAACAAATTTATTTGTCGGTAAATCAATGTTTACAATAATAATCTATATATATAATGTTCAGTGTCTGTCTGTCTGTCTGTTTCTCTGTGCCGGGTCAAGGGTCAAAGGTTAAAGGTCACATAAGGCTATAAGGAAAGATCTCTAGGGACATTATATGGGATACTTATAGGTCCTGAAGGGCTATCCTACGGGGTACCCATAGGTCCTCAAGGACTATCCTATGGAGGTACCATAGGTCCTCAAGGGCTATTCTAGGGGGGTACCCATAGATCTCCAAGAGCTATCCTATGGGGGCATCCATAAATCCCCAAGGGCTATCCTATGGGGGTACCATAGGTCCTCAAGGGCTATCCTATGGGGGTACCTATGGGTTCCCAAGGGCTATCCTATGGTGGTACCCATAGGTCCTGAAGGGCTATCCATTCGGGGTACCCATAGCTCTCAAGGGCTATCCTATGGGGGTACCTATGGGTCCCCAAGGGCTATCCTATGGGGGCACCCATAGGTCCTCAAGGGCTATCCTATGAGGGTATCCATAGATCCCCAAGGGCTATTATACGGTGATACGCATAGGTCCTGAAGGGAGTAAGGCAATAGGGAGATAAGGCTACAAGGAATATAAGGCTATAAGGCCGAAGGCTGCATGGACTATAAAAATATGTGCGATATGAGATTATGAGGTCGTAGGGCAACCTATCTATATACATAATATCGAGTGTCTGTATGTATTTTACCGGATAAAAAGTTACATGTCTGAGGTCATACATTAAAGGAGAAAACAGCCGTGCAATATGCACGGGTTCTCGCTAGTAATAATAATGTTACATTAAGAAAAATGAAATACAAAAAAAGAAAAATAATGAACAAATATCAACAAGGTAAACAAAAGATAGAACGACAGTAATAAGATTTTCTTGACGATCGATTATCCTTGATAAGTAACTATAATCTGTTAAAGATTTTCAGTTAAACATATTTTGTATTAGTATAATGAGACTAAATAACATATGTGAGTTTCATATTTTAACTCGATAGAAGTTGTGCTAATAAGTTTATTTTTTAGTTTCAACAATTTATTTAATTTTTAGAATTGTTTATATTCATCGAATGTCTGTTTATCGAACATATACACGTATTAAGAATCAAATAAAAATGTTTAGTGAAGGGTTTAAAACATTAATGAAACCAGAATGGATTAATATGTTTTCTGTTCCAGAATTACAACAATTAATATCGGGTGAATCATCTGATATTGATCTGGAAGATCTGAAGTTTGTTCTTATTTTAATAGTTTCAAATAAGTATAGGAAAAATATTGTTTTTTTTGTTTTTCTGAAATGCTAGATCAAATATTGTTTATCAAGGTGGTTATCATCGAACACATCCCGTTATCAAATGGCTTTGGCAAACACTCGAACAAGATTTTTCTAGAGAAGAACGAGCACTTTTTCTTCGAGTATGTTTATTTTTTCTATTTGACTAATGATAATTTGTTTATATATACTTTATTTTTTAGTTTGTAACAAGTTCAAGTCGTGCACCACTTCTTGGATTTCGTTCATTGAATCCACCATTTACAATTCGTTGTTTAGAAAGTTCAGAACATGAAGTAAAATATAATATTAATTAAGTTTATTTCAGTTTAATTTTTTGTATTTTAAAAAATTTTAGGAAGAAGGTGATTCATTAGGAAGAATATTACGTAATATGGTGACTATTAATCGAACATCATCGGAAAGACTTCCATCAAGTTCAACATGTTTTAATTTATTAAAGTAAGTTTTATAAATTAATATTATTCTATAAGTATATTTGAATTTTTCTTTTAAAAGATTACCCAATTATAAAACACGACGAATACTTTTGGATAAACTACGATATGCTATTAAAGCAAATGCCGGTTTTGAACTGTCTTAAATTTCCGTTTTTCTTTTTGTACAAATAAAATAAAATAAAATAAAATAAATCAAATCTTTCGATTATTATTAAAATGGTTTGAAAAGCTTCCCTTTATCTAGACCAGTATCATTAAAACCTCACTTCTTCAAGAACATCAAAATGGAAATAGATGTATTGGAACATAGCTCAGTGTCTGATCTTTGAGAAAAAAGATGATGCTTAATTTAATACCCAATTTTTTCAAATTAAGTTTTTTATCTGAGATGTTTTCGTGCAAAAAAAGCCGTTTTAGTGGGATGTAGAAGCATGTAAAAGATGTTGATTTGTGAGTCTTCTCTTCATTTGCACTTCACACGCTCTCTAAAGAACATGAAATATTTATGATGAATATAATCTGTAATGAAAACAAGCTCAATTAACACATAGCTGATCATTTTAGAACATTACCCATCAAATATATTATTTCTTTAACTGAAGAAAGGGTCGTAGGAAATAATGGGAGTTTGCTTTCACGCAAAATTATGTGTACCAATATATGTCAGATGGTTTTAAGTTTGAGTAGCTCGAAATAAGGTTGTTTCATTCGGACAGTTCAGCTAGTCACATCATTTTATTACTTGGCGTGTCATCCAATCAGATCTTCCACTATCTAGCTTTGGTTCGATCGAGTCTTCTGATGCTCGGAGTCTAGCTAATCAGGTTCTTTTGCTATTGCACTCTTGATCAATCTTCTTTTCGTTGTGGTAGGAATTTCATCCTATCAATTGTATTCGATATGCAAATATCGCTCAATGAATTTGTCTTACTGACAATTATTTCAATCATATGTAAGAAATGAATATGAGCGTGGGATGTTGACATACTGTTATGAGTATGAGCGTGAATGCTGAAGTGTGAAATGAATGTCGGTAAAGTTTATGTGTGGGTTGCAGATGTGACTGTTAGTATGCGTGTGGACGTGAGTTTACGTGAATCTTGGGTACTGTTACGGGGAGATAGATTGTAGGTATTGAGTTTGTGTGTGCATATCATATAAGCCTGTTAGTGTGGTTGTCGAATGTTTTGTATATATTGAGTGTGGAGATGTGAGATTACCAATGTGTGTGTTAGTGTAGTGCATGAGTGCAACGAACACTAAGTATGAATGCGGTGATGAGTGTAGTTATTTGAACAACTAAGAGAAGCACCACTCCGCACACACAATCCCACCCACAGCGGCACCCACCTCGGCACACTTACACTCGAATCGCATTAACGAGCCTTACCTGTATCAAACTGGTATTCCGAACAGTTACGCATGAGTTACCCATCTTCATATCTCTCTAAACGAATAAAGTTTACCGCCTGTGTTCAGTCAGTAAAAGTGAAAACACGTCAACTTTAAGGTAATAAATAGTGTAAATACAAATCGTGAGCTATCTATACTTATAGAGCTTGCTCGAACAGAAGAATACAATCAACATTTTAATAATAGCATGAAAAATTAGTTTGCAACATGTTTACTATCCATGACGGTTGTTAGTATCAATCTTTCAAGTATTTGTAAACGGACTGTACTTGCACTGTTTTCAAACCATAAACTATGTGAAATACGGCACAAGTTCGTGATTCGCAGCCTGACATTATAATAGCAATACAATTATACTTATTTAATTAATTCTAGTTTCAGAGTACCGGAAATAGTATGTGTTTCGAAAAACTCTCACAAGCGTTCACATGGGCGTGAAAAATCGCGTGGAACTGTCGCATTTGTATCGGTTGTGTACCGCATGGTTCAATTTGAGCCGAGGATAAATCAATAAACATAAGACCAAAAAAACAAAATTCCTGAAGAGTTCGACAACAGTTGGATAATCTCTACGATTTGAAGTAGGCACAACTCATCAATAGTATGCGTATACCTATATATTATTCTCGTTCACTCAAAAGTTCATCCAAGACTAACGATGATAATGCTTACCAATCAAATGTTTTTAAGAATCACACTTTATATGTGTGTACAGAGTTGAAACCGATAGAGCTTTTTCTTGATCACTATTGCTGCCGGTCAGATCGGACACCAATCCACAATGGACAGAAGAAGAGGATCATGAGCAATTCTTTTAATGATTGCAACTGTTAACATAATAGTTGGTGTACATATAGCTGGCATTTCATACTAGTTATCTACGCTTATCCAACTAAAAAGATTCCTATAAAATGAGATTTTCGGCTTTGGAAAACTGCGAATTAGCTCTATAAACTACAGTTGTTTTTATTGTGATGTTTTTCTAACAAAACGGAGACAATAATTTTTCTCATGTAATTGATGCAGTTACTGACTATGCATTATATAAATTTGTCATGGATTAACTACTCTTCAACAATGTGAAGTGGATTATCATCACTAAAATATCTTCAACTTTTGCATAGTTGCAAGTAAAATAAACAACACGGCTACAAATAAGTGTTTCATTTTAAAATTTTCCTTCGATCTTCATCTTAATACATGGATTACTAAAACGTAAAATTTTACCTCTTTTAAGGGTAAGCTGATTGCTTGGTTACAGTCGAACACAAATATTCATATCTATCAAACATCTTTAGCAAAAATATACATTGATATAGTTTACATTCGTGGACAAAAGTAGGTACTCCCCCTGAAATGGTGGTATTTTCCATCATTTTGAACTGATATTTTGTGTGCATGTCGGCCTCATTGAACTCTGATCGAAAGCACCCCTTTGCCCTCAATTGATTGATATTTGCTGAAGATATGACTTGCACATTTTTATTACTTTATCAAAGTTATGTCTTGGCCATTGTTCGATATTTACTTTCGCGCAACCCTTCATTCAAAAGCTCAATGGTGCATCTATACCCAGTAAAGCTTTGGTAGGAAATGGATCTGAAATAATGGAGATCCAAGGTTCTCATTGAAAACTTTTACCAAACAGAAAGCCCTAGTTTTTAGTCTGGAATCAATAGCTCGAGCTCGAATCGATCAATGCAGCTGAAACTTTTAGCAATAACTCCTCATCGACTCACAAATTTGCAATAAAATTTTCAGAGCTGTAGCTGTGCGTAGACCTGAAATCGACCTATCGGAAGAGTTCATCACACTACAGCTGGGTGTGGGTGCGGGCGGATGTCGGTGGGTGTGAGTGTGGGCCTGAGTGTGGATGTGGGGTGTTGGGTGTGGATGTGGATCTGAGTGTGGGTGGGTGTGGGGTGTGCGTGTGAGGGTGTGAGTGTGGTTGAGGACAAGATTTATACCCACACCCACGTAAACACGCACACCCACATCCAAGAAAGAAAAGAAAAACCTAGTTTTAAATCAGGTCTTTGAGCGTGGGGCTCAAAGTCTTTTATCTAAGGAATCAAATACAATATAAACGTATTTTAATATCTCCTCTTTCAACTAAGAAAAGCTACAACTAGTAGAGAAGTTTTTTTTTCAGATAACTTTATATATTATTTAATTATATAATTACAATTTTCATGCTATTTATAGAAACTTTTCGATTGCGACTCTAACTCGATGGCATCGACTTGAGGGTTCTGACGTAGTTCACTACTGAAGACGCGGGTGTGGGTGTGGGTTTGTGGTGGATGTGGATGAGTCTGAATGAGAAGACTAGCAGTCCAAATTCACACCTACACCCCACCCCCACCCCCACCCACATTCACACCTACACACCCACACCCATCCATACCTACACCCACATCCACACCCATACCTACCCATAACCACACTCACACCCACCCACACCCCACACCGACAACCACACCCTTCAAGTACGAATCAAATTCTATTATCATCATTTCTTTTATTTCAATCGTTGTTTCTAATGAAATGAGCATAAACTAAATCTATCATAGAATCTATTTAATTTGTTTTATATTTAAATATATATCGACGATGTTGAAAATTATGAAAAATATTAAATGATTGAGTCAAACTTGGTAAAATAATAGCCATTGAAATAGAACCATACCAAACACCAACAATAGCAAATGTATAAGATAAAAATTGATATTCTGCAATATCAGAGTAACCAATAGTTGCTATGACTGTAAATGCCTTGTAAATAAAAAAAAAAAAACTTTATCTTTAATTAAGTAAAATCATTTAATTGATATTTACATGCCATAATGCTTCACCAATATTTTTTATTTCATTATCTTGATGTAGTTGTTCAAGAACGAATTGTGTTAAACCAAAATAAAATATTCCAAATATAATTAATATTGTTAACATAAGAATATCTTTTAAATTAATATATAAAACTCTAATAAATATTTCTAAACATTTTGCATGACGAGTTAAACGAAATAGACGAAATAATTTAAAACATGTTAAATAATCAAATACTTGAGTTTCTTTTAATGTTAATAGATTTTCTTCTTGATTTTCTAATATATAAAGTCGATAAAATATTTGACTTAATATTGTTGGTAATATAGATAAGATATCTAATGCAAAATTTGGATCACTTATAAGATGTGTAAATGAAGGTACAGATAAAGTACGTAAAAATAATTCAAAATAAAACCTAAAAAAAACACAAGAAAATTTTTTATTTGATTTAATATCTTTTGCTAACTAACCATATAATACAAACAGTTTCTAATGTTGTATTTTCTGAATTAAAATAAGGTATAAATTGATAAGGACGTAAACTAATATCTGAACAATTAAAACCTTCTGTACGATTACGAGGTTTTAATGGATGTGTTATCATCCACATTGTATTATGAAAATTTCGATAAATACTCATCGTTTCTAAACATAAAGAGTAAATTGCTAAAGCATTAAATACAGCTGATAAAATGTTAAATAAAGAATTAAAATAATTAGTAGGTGGATGATAAAATATTTTTTTTAAGTAAGAAGTTGATTCACTGTGTTTATCTTCATTTATTGATAAATAATCATTATAAAATGTTTGAATTAATTTTTCACTTAATTGAAAAAATTGAATTTCTTCATAAAATATTATTGCTGGTATTGTTTCAGCTTTAATTAAAACACCATCATTTATATAATAATATAAAATAGATTCAAATGAACTTGGATGATGTGGAAAAAAATAATCACTTGTACCTGGTACAAGATACCGTGCCCGTTTTAATGGATCACCAAGGACTGTATCAGGAAAATTAATTAGATCAGATACATTTATTTCATAATGTGTACCCGATATATTGATTGTTAAACGATCATCTTCACTTTCGAAAAATGTTACCATTGATAAAAGACGATCGAGAGCATCCTTTGCCCAACCATCCATCGCTTTGATATTATTTGCTCAATTAATAATTGTGCGCCTTTTGAGCTTATTTTTAAAATATCTAATATAACAGTTACAATCGAAGAAGACCGTAATAATTGATGAATGAGATACAAATAAACAAAGGAAACAGTTTATTTTAATCGAAGAACTTATATGTTTATGAAAAAGATTCTCCAAACATGAACATTAGTAAATAGTGTGCTTATCTTTACGTTTTTTTTATATGTAAATGATGGCAAATCAAAAGTCTCACTCGGAGAATTCATATATATTATTTTATAGGTTTCGATGAAATACAAAATGGACAAAAACTTGAATGCATCATCACTTGGCTCTATCAAAGATAAATCTAGAGTTGACAAAGCGATGGTTTCATGTCTTTACAATATTGTTTTTTTCCTCAACAGAAAAACAAGACAAAAGTGGTTAAACTACATCATATAAAGTTTGAAAGCCATTTTATTTATCACGAACGTCATCCGCATTGATAAATTTCGAGTGGAACCAAAGTGAGGACTATCAATTTAAAAGATAATGAAGTATGTTTGGAATTCTACTATCGACAGTTGATTTTAGAAATCCATAGACATGACGAAAATCAATATTATTGCAAGCTCTATTAATCTTGACTTTGCAGAAATGATTTTTCAAAGTGAATAGAGATATTTTGAACTGATACCTGATTTCTCCGTAGAACGAAGAAAAATCGAGCATGTTTTATTTGAAAAACTATTCTCTACTTGATTTCTGTTATTTTTAGTAAGTTCTGTAGTCTCATAGTGGTCAACTCCCTCCCACAATCAAAATTCAATCAAGACCAGCGAAAAGTATGGAATACTCAATATTTATGTGAATGGCCATCATCATTATCATATAAGTCAAAGATGATTTCGAAGAGTCGATTGATGCTCATAATTAATGATAAATAATTTCAAATTACGGAGATTTATACAATATTTTATTGAACAATTTTTTTTAATTCAATAGTGATAAAATTAAAAAAACAAGACGGTTATTTTTATTTACACAGCTATAATTTCCCTTAGAAGTCTTATTCAATCATTTTAGCAAATAATATATTGATCAATTATGTTTTTTCAATTTTATTTTAGTTAGATATTAATAATAACAGAACAAAAATCCTTGTCGTTAAGGTCATTCTTATTTTTGTACAATCGAAAACATTATCACTGGAAAAGTTTATGCAAACTTGTGAATGATATCAATCGATGGCATCGATTGATATGAGAATTTGAAATATAGTGAGATATTGCACTCTTTTTCCGGAGGTAAAATGAGATGTTGCACTCCGTTTCAAGAACCAAAGTGCAACAAAGTGAAAATGTATAAATACGTCTAGAAGAAATACATAATAGTTTATATTTCATACTGTTGACTTCTATTTGTGTTTATACGTAGAAGTAATAATTTTAAAAAATATGCAATTATCATTTAGTAGTAAAATTTAAATCAAGTCGAAAGGAAAAATACGAATACAAATCATCATTAAATCACAAGATTAAAAAAATCTAAATCATCGATGATGACTATCTGTACATCTAGATGTTCATTCTAATTAATCAAAAATAAACACAATTTGGAAGCAGAGTTATTGCAACATATTAAAGTTTGGGGAGTCGATAAATTTTTCAAAATAACTGCTATAAATTATCGAAATTTTGAATGAAGAACTTGAGAAATTTATCGAAAAATTCTGAAAATCTTTGAAAATTTTAGAAACTTTCAGGTTTCTCTAAGATTTTTGAAGAGTGTCTGAAAATTTGTAACAACTTTTCAAAATTTCTAGAAACTTTTGATCATTTTTAAGGGGTATTTAAAAATTTGTCGAAGACTCTTCTAAAACTTTTTGTAATGTTGAGTCATAAAAACAAAATTTCTAAAGATAAGGGGATAGCCATTCGCTCGCGACAACTCCGCTTCGAAGTCATTTGGTTGTGACTGTTATTTGAGCTTTCTTTTGATTGATCAAATGATGATCTGGTTGATTGAACTAAAAGTTTTTTGTATAGATGCTATTTGAGCGTGTCTCTATGACTGTTTTTTCTTCATTATCTAAAATGAGAATAAGAAAAGACTATTTGCTTGAATGAAAGAAGATAATAAATAGAAAATTAATTGTGAAGACGAAATAACCAATATAAAACAAAGTGAAAAATTTTATAATAGAGTGCAAATCCAAATGAGTGCGTGGCGCATTCACTTTGATTTTGCTCGGTGAACTAATCAATCATTCGGAACACTGATCGATGCCACTCTAAAAAATTAAGACACTTAGATAAGACAGTTCGTGTGTCTATTTTGCATTAATTTTACTTGAGCGTCTAAAATCGGTCATCCGTTGACACGTGACGCGTCTTACGAAGACACACTATATGTCTAAAGAAGACGCGTCATGTGTCAACGGATGACCGATTTTAGACGCTCAAGCAAAATTAATGTAAAATAGACACTTGGACTGTCTTGTAAGACACAAGGCATTTTTTTACAGTGGCAACTGACACTAGACGGCCATTTTTAAAATCTATTCTTTTTTTATTCCTCTTTACTGGTAACTTACGAATAGTACGATATCTATTGCTAAACACATTGTCCAATCGGATTATTATTTGCTTTAGACTAACTGATTCAGTTGGGCTGGCTTCACAGTCACAAATTTTGTCAATAAAATATTTGTAAAGTTTTAAAAACCTAGAGAATTATATATTTCAAAGATATAAATCGAATAAATATTCTCATATTTTAGATATTTGATTTTAGGCAAATAATTTTCATTTGTTATTGTTATTCTGTGTATAATAGTTCTATTTAACAATGATTTTACTTGAAGTACATAATCGTATAATTGAAGAATTATTAACACTACAAATCGAAGGATTTTTACGTAAAGAAAAATTAGTGGATCTTAAAACTGATGTTGTTGGTAAATGATTTTGAATTTTGAAATAAAACAAACAAAAAAAAAAATAATTCTTGAATAATTTAAGATTTTGATGGTGCACTTTATCATGTAACAAGTTCACGTGATAAACCATTTATTGTTAGCATTAAATTAAAATTTTTTCGTGATTTAGAACAATACGGCACAGATGAAGTTAGTTGTAGAATTTGATTTTTTCTCGTAATAATAATACTAATAATAATTAATTGTATATACTTAGGTTCTACGTCGAGAATATGGTGATCTTCTTGTAGCACCTTTAGAAGGTTATAATGTAACATTATCATTAGATTTTAATACACAATTACCTAAAGGTGATAGTAATGATGCATGGTTACCACTTGTTCGTAAAATTGCAATGCTTAAACGAAATTGTTTTGCGGCTGTTTTTGAAAAATATTTTGATTATCAAGCAAAACAAGAATCAACAAGTATTAGTCATAAACGAGCTGTTATACATTATCGTGATGATGAAACAATGTATGTTGATGCATCATCTGATCGTGTTATTGTTATTTTTTCAACTGTATTTAAAGATCCAGATGATAATGTTATTGGTCGTGTTTTTATGGAAGTAAGAAAATTTTTAAAAAAATAATTATCATATGTATATGTATATATATTATATTTAGGAATTTAAAGAACGACGAAGACAATTTCAACAAGCACCTCAAGTTATTGTTAGTTATCGTACACCACCAGAAGAATTAAAGGATATGCATGATGCACGTATAGGTGATAATATTGGTTATTTAACATTTGGTATGTAATTTTTCTTTTTAAATTATAAACATATATTGATAAAATTTTTTTTATTAGTTCTTTTTCCACGTCATACAAAAGCAGCAACACGTGACAATACAATTAATCTTATTCATACACTTCGCAATTATTTTCATTATCATATTAAATGTTGTAAAGTATGTTTAAATCATTTTTTTCATAATATATTATATTAACAAACAAATTGTTTCAGGCATATTTACATGCACATATGCGTCATAAAACAAATGAATTTTTAAAACGTCTTCAATTAGCTCGACCAGAAGTTAAGAAAAGTTTTCGACGTGGTCCCAATGCAGCTGGTATATGAAAAGAAAAAACAAAACTTTTTTTTTTTTTGTTCAATTAAAATTTTTCTCATCTAGGTGATGCACCAGCGGGTATGGAGTGAACATTACTGAACAAAAGAGATTTGTGATTTTGGTTGTTTTTTTTTCTCTAACCGGCTGATTTATCATATTTCTTTTTTTTTGCTTCTTCTATCTATAGTCGTTAATTTATCACTTCTTTTGTTCGCTTGTATATGAACGTAGAGCAATTTATTTGGTTTCAAACATTTTTATGTTATTCTATTTAATTATCAACGACAAGTATGCTTGTTTCTTTTTCTTTTTCTTTTTTACATTCTCATTGATTATGATTGCGAACAAATATCCAAAAAAAGATGAATACAATGCATCATTGTATAAGATGTTTAATTGATAATGAATACATATGTGTTTCATGCTTGTGTCAAAAGATTCGTACTTCGAATCATTTATATTGCTCAATTTCAAATCCTCATCTCAATCAAATAATATATTGCTAGATTCTGAAAGTATTTGACAAATATTGATTTTTAATGTAATTCCTCACTAAATTTTTGTTTAAAATATAGAGTTCAATCAAAAAAATTAAAATGAACAATACAGCTCAAACATTCATTGTAGCAAGAAAATTTCTGATATGAAAGATTTTTCCATATATTTTATGTTATTCTGATTATGTTTCACAGAATCAAATCTCACGAGACATTCATAGACAAAAAAGAAAAGATCTAGAGTTACATTGCAAACAATTGTTTTTTTTTAGATTCTATTTGTAACAAACGTTGATTTATATAATTTGTTGTAAAAAATTGTTTTGATAGTGATTCGAAATAATCATCGTTAACCATTGTTAATATGCATTACATCAAACAGGAATTAACTTTGATTACTTTCTATATTTTATATCTCATACGACAGGAGCACTTCGACTCTGACGACATACGTCTGAAATAAATTCGTTCCATAAGAATTAATACTAAATTCGTCTCTATATATTTGTCTTCCACTAATTGCAATTAAGATTCGATTATCGACTTAATTATTCTATGAATATATAATAAGTGCGTTCGCGAGCAGGAGTGTGTGTATTGACGAACTACTATGTTATCTAGTGCCACATTCACATCCTTCCATTATTGAATAGCATCATAAAGAATACATAGACGGTCATCTTAATCATATAAAACTTGCTATATAACATGAAGGGTATATGAAAATCAAACATTCTATTAAATAATCATCTTTTTTTTTTTTTCTTATGTGCTATTCCTCGTATTTGTGTCAATAAAATGTCCAATGACTATTGAATTAATAAAATATTTTATTAATCTCTTAGGAGATTAGTAAAGGACAAAAGTGTCTAGATAAGTGCAGAAGGTTTCTTATGAGACAATCTTTCATTAATGGAGAATAGTTCCAGGCAAGATTAGTCTAAAAAAAGATTTATCAACTTTGTCAACATTCGTTCTGCTCATTTTATTTTCATCAGTAATTGTCTCATGAGGATCAATCTGATTTCAGATCATTCAACAAGTCTTTTATTCTTTTCTTTTCTGACGAGTTCATTAATATTATATGACTATCTTATCAAGTCTCTAGGATGAGTTCTAGTCTTCTTTCTGGTTGGTATATCTTTTTTTTTTATAGGAATAAAGAAAATAGTTTCATTTCCTTAATGTATTATTGATCGGTCAGTATTTTCAATCATGTAGTTATACAGAAGAAAGAATTATTCAAGATTTATATGTTTGAAAAAGAAAGACAAATATGTAATGACCTCGATAGATTTTGATGAGTACTATGGTGCACTCGTAACAAACAAAAGACTTTTTCTCTTATAAGTCAAAAAGCCGAAAAAACAAATAAGTACTGAGGTTCGCTAACTTTTTTTTTTCAAAAATACAGAAATAAATCATGTTCTTCTCTAACTTTTTGTGAAGTGAAACTAGAAATTTTTTTTTCTATGCAAAAATGAATGAGTATAGCGTCATAGTTAACTAAGAACTCTTTTATCCAAATTTGAGTGATATGTTATCAATTATTTAAGTCTGATGAGTTTCATTTTTTGTAAACAATTGGCACAAGCCGGGTTGTCTTTTGACAGCAAAGATTTTTTTTTTTAAGAAGTACCGTGATTAGTATTAAATGACAATTTAGCTTTTCGAATGAAATAATACGATATCGAAGAATCTTTAATCAACATACAAAAAATTTTCGCATCGAGAAGTAGTATCAATTTCATGAGCAGTTTTCAAAGGCTTCAATCTTATTTCAAGAAAATTTTGATTTATTGCAGCTCTTAGAAAGCATAACTTATATCAGCAATCATTAGCATGAATGCATTTGACGTTAAAAGTATTGAGATTTTTCTTTAAATTCATATAAAAATATATTTCATAGAATCAAGTTTTTTTTTGCAATCGCATAGGATGCACCTGAATTGAAAATCTTTTTTTTTTAACTATAAATATCCAAAGTTCTGATGAGATCATAATCATTGAGCACTTATACAACGTATTAAATTAGTTTTTTAATTGTAATACAGAAGTGTAGGCAAGTTTTTAATTTTAATACTAAGTTGACGAATCTATTATTTATATATGTTTAGAACATGCGTGATACTTTATCTATTAAATATAAATGAAAAAATAGTCTTTTAGCGTTTTTAAACTATTGAACATACCATACTACGTATTTTGAAGAATGTTAGCTATAGTTTTTACAATTTTCCTAGTCTAACAAATAAATCATATCTATTTAGCATTAATGAACATATAGAGAACAGTTAAAATACTCTATTTACTATCTTTCAATGAATATTTCAATAGAACTTAATGGTATTCTTATGCTGCTCATGCCTTAACATGCATGATTATTGACCAAGTTTATTAGAGATACTGAAAATTTCACTATTATAATTATATAATTGGTGCCATCTATGAGAAAACAACAGACTATTAAAAAAAATACTGCATCATATTATATATTTGCTTAATACTCATCAAGAATTGTAAATAACATCACAGACAAAGAAGTCATAAATGTTCAAATAGTATAAAAATTATTTGAGCGCTTTTATTTGTTCTAGAGGCATGACAAAGTATTGTAGTATTCACTCTTGGAAGGAAAGTATACACGACATTAAAGAGAAAATTTAAATAATATATAACACGTAAAGTAATCATGCTATGGTATTTTAGGAATGAGTGATAGTGTCCTCTTTCGATTGACTCTAGTATTAGTCATATAATGTCACATATGTATGTCCTTATTTCAGTATAGCGCTACTATCTATATTAACAAAAGAAGTGTGTAATAATGTAATTGCATTGTCTGAACTTTTATGAATCATGTTTTCACTGACTGGTTGTCGTTCTTTTTTTTTTGTTTTCTTTATCTTTTCTTCGTTTTTTTATATCATAAAACGAGAGGCCTACACCTGTTTCTCATTTATTTTCCATGTTCGTTTTAGATTCATTGACGCATTTTGTGCAACAATAATGTCGATTGATGATTTATATTTGTCGTTTCTGGTTAGTTTAGTTTTTCATCTAATTTTACCGCAAGCTATTAGAACATTACCGAATGATACAACAACAAATTTACTTTCTACTACTAACATGACAGTAAATGGAAATAATACAAGAACTGTTATAGCTATTAAAAATCGACTTGATCAAGGAAAAGAAATACTACATGACGCTTTTGCAAATATGGATCGAGGCACATTATTACGTGCTACGATTGTACTTGCTGGTATTACATGTCTCATTTTAATATATATTGGAATGAAAACATTTTTGTAAGTGAAGAAAAAGAAAAATTAATTGTTTTTGTTTACAAAAAAATATATCTGTCTTTTGAATTTATGCATTTATATTATTATTATTTTTTTAGTTTACGTAAAAAACGTCAACCAAAACGATATACATTAATTACTGATCCAACTGCAATGGAAGAACCTCTCTTCGGTGCTCATGATGATGACGATGATGAAATTGAAGATGATACATTATTTGTACGAAAATAATTAAAACCAAACAAAATAATTTTTTCTTTCGTGTGTTCAGTCTTTTTCCTTTTTTCTTTTTTTTATCTCATGAACATTCCGTTGATACTGTTTTGACTTACGATAAATATCATTATTGTTATTCATTTTTTTTTTTTTTTTGTTTTTTAACGAACAGTTTTTCATTTATTTAAGTAGACATAAAATCCGGTTATTGGTCTATTGTCACTTATAATATTACATTTTTGATCTTCTTTTCAGATAATTAACTATTCATGTAAATTTTTATATATTGATATGAAAAATTGTTTCATATGGAGATTTTTGTGAAATTTTGAAGATTTAGACAGGTATGAAAAATTATTAGAAAATAAAATATGGTTTTGTTTACAATCTATACAAACGATAATACAATGCATGAATATTTCTAGGAATCAAACAGTTCTTTTTGTTTTCATTGGTATGTCACAGATGGTCTTGTATTGTGTAATAAAATAAATGGCTCATTTGTTGATTTGAATAGACGTATCATGTTAGAGGCAAACTTAATAATATACGTTATAGCAGAATAATTATTAAGCAATGAAAAAATTCAAGTAAAACAATGCGTTATGAAGTGTGATAATATGCAGTTATATTATCATAGAAGCAATGGTTTATTCTTTTTAATTTTTACTTGTATAGTTCGTATGTTTGTATATATCTGAAGTGTCACAATGATTTTTTTATTTGAGCATCTGATTATATTCAGTTGTTCATATAAAAAAAAAAAAAATAATCAAAACAACAAATTAATATGGAATGATAAAAATTTTATAATAGTAATAATGTAACACCACTATAATAGAGAATTACCATTTATCTTTTTTCTCTGTGTTTATCATCATAGCTTCTTCTTTAGCTTTATTTTTGTATAGTTATCGCATGTTTTGTACGTCACGGTTCGTTTCTTTCTAATAGCGTCGATTCTGTTTCTATATAAACATAGAATGAAGCGATGAAATAGTCTATGCACTATATGAGAATATATTCTCAAGCCATAGTCATTGCTGGTAGGCATATGTTCTATGCCATTTCGCACGACTAGAGTTCTTTTTGAAAATTATTCGATAACTCTCATTATCAATCTTAATTTCTGTTTAGATAGTTACGTTTTTTCTTGTTAATAATGACATCACATGCTAATGCAGATCTTGATGATGTTGTCATTTTGTCTGCCGTACGTACACCTATCGGCTCGTTTAATGGATGTTTATCAGCTCTAAAAGCTCATCAGCTTGGTGCTGCAGCAATAAAAGGTGCATTGATTAAAGTAAGTGGTACTATTACACCAGATGAAGTGAGCGAAGTATTTATGGGTCAAGTATTGACCGCTAACGAAGGTCAAAATCCAGCGCGACAAGCTGCACGTGGTGGTGGTCTACCTTATCATATACCAGCAACTACAATTAATATGGTTTGTGGTTCAGGCTTGAAAGCAGTAATTCTAGGTGCTCAAGCTATTCGAACAGGTGATGCAACTATTGTAGTTGCAGGTGGACAAGAAAGTATGAGTCAAGCACCACATTGTATTTCAATGAGAAATGGTAAAAAGATGGGTGATGCTGTCCTTGTTGATTCAATGTTACATGATGGGTAAACAAATGAAACTAATTATTGAAATATTTATTATTGATTTGTTTTTTAGACTGACAGATGCATTTAATCATATTCATATGGGTATCACAGGTAAGATCAATAAATAATAGATAATCGTATAGTATTTTATTCTTAATTATATAGCGGAAAATATTGCCGAAGCATGTGGTATAACACGACAAGAACAAGATGAATTTGCCTTACAATCTCAATTGAAATGTGCACATGCGAAGTCACTTGGACATTTTGATGCTGAAATTGAACCGATCATTATTTCCACAGCTAAAAGTATGTTGATTATTATTTCAATGAAAAATATCTTTCAATATATCTATATTATTGCTTCAATTTCTTATTTGTTTATAAAGGTGATGTTCAAATAAAAAGTGATGAATATCCACGTCAAGGAGTAACAATTGATTCTATGTCGAGATTAAAGACAGTATTCAAGGATGGTATGTATCTTAGTTCAGAGATAATTGTATATTTATTATGTTTTTCTTTTCTTAAGGTGGAACAGTTACTGCAGGGAATGCATCAGGTCTATTTTCTCTTATTTCAATAATTTAAATCATTTTATTAATATTGTATAGGTCTTAATGATGGAGCAGCTGCATTGATTCTTTGTTCGAATCGTACTGCTAAAATAAAGCAGCAAATACCTCTAGCAAAAATTGTTTCATGGGCACAATCAGGCATTGATCCACTTGTTATGGTATATGTTTTGATTTTTATGAAAATAAAATATAGAAATGCTTTTGTCATCTAGGGTTTGGCACCAATCAAATCGATTCAAGAAGCTTTACGAAAAGCTAATTGGTCTGTTGATACAGTAGATTTATTTGAATTAAACGAAGCATTTGCTGCTCAATCTGTCGCAGTTATTCGAGATCTTCGTATTAAGCCAGACAAGGTTCTTGTTTTGTGCTTTTTTTTCTCCTCCATTTTGATTTTAATATCTTTTAGATCAATGTAAATGGTGGAGCGATTGCTCTTGGTCATCCTCTTGGTAGTTCTGGCGCTCGAATACTTGTTACTCTTATTCATACACTTAAACGAACAGGTTTAAAACGAGGATGTGCCGCTCTCTGCATAGGTGGTGGCATGGGTATTGCTATATGTATTGAAACTTATTGAAATTTAATTATGACTTAATTAAAATTTATTCATTCATTTGTTGTCTGAAACTTTATCTAGTCGTCCATATATTTAACTATACTGTTTGTCAACATTCTTGAAGTTTTCTTTGTTTGCAACATTTCTTCTGTTTTTTCTATTGTCTTAGTACTTGCAGTATCGAATGAGCTTTGTATTTGTCTCACTATGAAAGAAAAAATAAACTAGTCGATATTGTGTACATTTTCGCCATAAAAAGAACTATAATGTAATCAAATGTCATGTAATTTTCTGCTGATGTACTGTTAGACAATCATTTTCTTGATGGAAAATTTTTCACCCTGATTTAACATTTCAATAAATGTAAATGTATCATTTTTATGTCACTAATATAAAGATATTAATGGATTTGCTTGTTTTTTTTTTTTTTTGTTACAATCATTATTATTTGAAAGACTTCGTTTATTCTTTCTTCTATATGATGTTAATGTTCTTGACGATGAAATTGAGGAATTATTAATATACGTGTGTTGAAGCGACAAATTGTTATCAGTTTCTCGTTTAATCATTATTTTCTTAAGGCGAAATATATTTGGAACTATCTTCTATGTTTATAATTGATCTTATTAGCTGATAGAAAAAGTGCCTCAATACATCTTATGAATATGTATGAATGTCAGTGTCACTTTGTGCATTTCTTTCTATTGGGCTTGTACAAACACATTTGTTTTTTTTCTTCCGTACTTATATCCATTTCATACACAACATATTAATTACTGCTTAAGGGAGTTGTTTATTTGTAAATATTTTTCTCAATAACCGACTTTTTTTTGTATACATAAATAAACAATTGAAGTAGTTAGTTCTTATTTCATATTTGATTAGGAATAATTATCATAGAAAGCACGCACTGATAAGAAGACATGCATGTTAGTTAACTTAAGAGAAAGTGTCTTTAAGATGAATAATGGCGCTCAGCATTTATAAAAAGACAAAGCCAACAAAATGTACATATATATATATATATATATGAAATTACAAATTCAATCACGAATATTAAAATTATGCTAACAGTATTTTAAAGATAATGTTTTTTATCAAGCAATTATTGATTTAAAATTTTTAAGTTAATCAACATATGATGTTTCACGAGATGTTTGTAAGAGCGCTTAATCTGTTCATGGATAATGTTGATGAAATTTTTAGGCTAGAGAAAAATAACTAATATTAACCTTTTAATACTTTTTAGGTCATTTTTTAACTCATTTATAGAAACTATCTGTTAGAAGCAATAAAGCATTGAATTGAAATAGTTTTGAGTAACTTCAATCAGCTAAAAAAGTTACAAAAAAATAAAACTTCTTTTCATCAAGTTTTAGCTACGACTTACGAGAACGAGAATATATGTTTGTTTTTTTTTTAAATGAAAAAATCTCTGTTTTTTATCTTTTATTTTATTTAGTTGCATGGAATGATTATTGTGATGTATGTCAGATTGATGTATACTATTATAGACATAAAATGATTTCGAATCGAAATCAGAATCAATAATTCAATGTTATAAAAAAAAAAAAAGACTAATGATGTCGACACAAACTAGGAAATTAGAGAACTGATTTCATTCGAATATAACCGCCTTTAAAATTATGTGATCATAAATCATCTCTCCGAAATCATGATAAGTAAGTTTCTGACTTTATACAGATAAACTAGCAATATAACTGAAAAAACACGAAAAAAAAAATCAAATTAACAATAGATTCAATTCTCATGTCATTCAAGACGTATGGTTCATTTATGGTCCATTCTTCATCTTTACAAACTAGTGACTTCACTCAAATTTAATTATGGCAATATCACAATCAGCATTTGCGTGATCTATTCTCGCAGTTGACTCAACAGTAACTCTATTCAATTAGTGTCAGCGGATAAAAATTTGATTATAAACAATGTCTACAAAATGTTCAATCTACTTATATTCAAGATAGGTTCCTTTTATTGATGATTTCTACTTTCTATACTGTTACATCAAAGCTTACAATCATTTTGAATATTAAAGCGTAAAAAAACGGACGGTTTAAATTGGTGAAAACATTCTTATCGATTCTATCCTCAATAGTCACGATATACATGATAATAAAACATTGATATGAAGGTATTACGAATATCAGCAGAATTCAAGATATAGACATGCGATCAAAACTCATCCACACATTACCTGCACTGATCCACTTTTTAGCAAACAAGCGTTCATTTACATACAAAAT